GGTGCTGAGGATGGGGTGTTCCAGATAAGTTGTCCTATGTAGCCCCCATTACTGCTTTCAGACTTGGATCATTTTATTGCACTTTGTAGATGAGCAGACAGCGTGGTCCAGGACCCTGCTGGACATCACCCATCCAAAAAATGGCCACGCTGTAACTTGACTCAGGTGGGACTGACTCTAGAGCCTGGACTGCTTTATCCTCTGCAGAACTGCAGGTGTAGACAAGTGATGACTGCTTCATTTGGGCTGGAAGGAGCCTGTGGGGTTCAGGGTGGACCCCGGGGACTCTCCAAGGATGAGTTAGTCTTGCATGGGGAGGGTGTAAGGGGGCACGTGGATGGTGATGGAGACCCTGATGTGGGGGTCAGGGGCTGGGGGGCACTCCTGGACATGAGTTTGCAGTGCCCCTGGGGCCATCTGGATGGAAACTCCAGTAGAAAGTTGGGGAGAGAGAGCAATGAGGGTTGTGGGCTTGGCATGGAAGTGACAGGCGGGGCCCCAGAGGAGGAGCGGGGAGGGACAGTGGGAGAGGACGCTGAGCTTGGGAGGAGGGGTGGTGAGCCAGGGAGGAGCCGGAGCAGCAGGGCAGAGGGGAGGATGGGGAGGAAAGGAGGTCCAGGGCTAATGCTCTGCAGGAAGAGGACAACCTGCTCTGTGCTCACGGTGTCCTGTGGTTAGGGCAGCCTTCGGGAGGGGTGGTGGGGACTGAGCCCTCGCAGGTGTCTGGGGCTAAGAATGTTGCCAGGGGAGGGTGTCGGGTGGGGAGTGGGGAACAGAGGCTGCAGCACAAGGCCATGGCCAGGACACCAGGAGGGCACACTGCACGGCACCGAGGTTGGCCTCAGGAAGTCCCGCGCCTGCACGCACATGTGTTTGTACACAGCTCGGCTTATTCTGCTGTGAACTTCTGGCCAGCTCTCTGCTGTCCGTGTGTTGTGTGTAACATGCGGAGCAAGGGGGAGGGCTGGGGCTTCGGGACAAGCTCTGTGGTGTCCCTCAGGCTCCACACAGACTTGTAACATGTCTCTGATGGTGGAAAAGCCTTGTGTGTAGCAGCTCAAGGCAGCACGTCAATTCTCTAGTGTCCTCAAGGCTGGGTGTGGGACTGGCTTTGTCCGTTCCTCTTTCCTGTGTCGGCCAGATACCACCTGCTGCTGGCCTCTGACTGGCCTCATGAGGGAGGACCTGGGGAGCCCCAGGCCATGCAGGGGCAGCTGCCACTCAAGCTGTGGAGGCCATGCTGCAGTGGGACCCCTTCTCCCCACCCTGGAACGGTGCCTGTCACAGTGTGGATGCTCCGTCCCGAGCTGGTGGGTGAAGGAGGGGAGGAGTGCTCCTGGCTGTGTTGTGGAGCGGTTATGGGCTGTGCTCGCAGGGGTCACCTCACTTCACCCTCCCCACAATCCCTGGAGGGGCTGTTGCCGGCCCGTTTTACAGATGAGGAGGTCGAGGTTCACAGAGTCCTCTGCTGCAGGCCCCGCAGCCAGGGCTGCAGCCGGTGCCGTCTGCCCTGGAGCACACGCATTCACTGCCTAGTGCCCAGGCTGACATGGCATTGGTGACACTGACTCATCCTCAGGTGTGGACAGACCCTTGTGGCCAGCCCCTCCCTGCTCTCAGGCCCCCGGGTGAGTGGGAGGCTAGAGTGGGGGAAGGTCTGGGGTTGTTGACAAAACAGTCTTGAATGGCGGTGCCTGTATGATGCTACCAGGAGCTGAGGGACAGGAGACAGCATAGGTCCAATCCTGTGTGACCCTCAGCAGATCACTGACCCTCTCTGTGCTTCAATTTCCTTATCTGGAACTGTCAACCTTTCCTCACAAGGACCTGGCACAGAAAGGGCTCCCCTACCCCACCCCAGGCTAACAGTCACTGTAAAGCTCAGTGACATCTTGCAACAATTGGCTGTGTTGGCTGACAAGATTGAGAGTGTTCTGGGGTGCTGGGGAGAGTTGGAGAAGGGGTGCAGGACGATGCCCTCTCCCCAGCTCTCGGGTTTGGCTTCTAGGCGGCTGGGCGTGCCTGGGTTGTTTGAGTGCTGTTCCGCTGGGGCAGGGTGGCGGCGTCCCCTGGGGATCACTGGGCGGGTTCTGTGCTCCTCACTCTTGACCGGAATGTGTGAAGGAGGGTGAGGAATGTCCATGTCTCCACCCTTTCGGGGAGCGCCGGCAGGCTTCAGGCCTTCCCCTGGACTGGGCCTGGGGCACTCTGGAAGGCCCCCAGAGTTGCCAGAAAACAACAGCTCTCTTTCTCCGGCACTCAGCCTGCCTGGCCCTGCGCTCAACGTGCAGTGTGCCCTGCGAGCTTCTCTTCAGCGCTGCGAGGCGGCCACTGTTACTCCAGCAACCTCTTTGCAGATGAGCAAGTGAGGCCTAGAGGAGCTGGCACCTGCTTCCAGGTCCCACAGCAGGTGGCTGGGGTCATCGGGACCCAAACGTGTGGGCTGAGCCCAGAGCCCTGCGTGCCGGCCAGCGCCTCCTGTGGAACCGGCAGGCCTTCTCCCTGGTCGTGCTGTGCTGCAGTTGTTGGGCACATTTGCACGTCTGTCCATCCTCTGTCCTGGGCCCGTGGGTTGGAGTGGGGTCTGTGTCCCTGAGCAGGGTGGCGTGAGGATGTGGCCACAGAAGTGCCGTTGGAGGTGCTGCTGCCCGAGACTTGGGCTGGGGCCGCCAGTGGGTGCGGGAGGGAGGTGGTCACCCCCACACCCTAGCCGCACGTGCCTGGGCTTGTGTGAGGTATGTAGGGGACAGAATCCTTGACCTGAGACGCCCAGGGACCCAGCCAGGACACTAGACACAGACCAGTTGAGGGCCAGCCCTGTTGTCAGGGGCGGGCCGCTGTGGTGACAGTGTGCAGACGCAGTCCTTGAGCGTCAGCCCTGGGCCCTGGCCGGCTCTGGGGGAGCAGACGGCAGAGGGGCGTGCTGGCGCTCCCTCGGTCAGGCCCCAGGGTCTGGGTGGGAGGAGCCATCCGAAAGCCTCAGCCTGGACTTGAGTCCTGTTTTGACTTTGTTTTCTGGGTCCTTTGAGTAGGAAATTCCAGACCCAGAGTCATGGGATTTCCTGTTTATTTCTGGCTTCTCCAGGACCCACAAGGTCTTGATCACGGCCAGGCGCTGGAACTTCCTCCCTGACACCTTGGCTGTCTATTTTGGGAGGACAAGGCCTGCAGGTTCGCAGTGGTGTCAGGGCAGGCGTCCACGCCCGTTCTGATGGAGTCCCGCCCAGCCCTCCCTGACGGGAGGTCTCTGCCCTGTCCAGCCGCCCTGTGAGACCCGCGGGAGCATGGGCGTGGCTGCTGCACGCAGAGCCTGCTTTTTGTCTGGGCCCTGCCGACTCCTGCAGCAGCCCTGCCTGAGACCCACTGTCTACAGCGCCCCCCGGCCTCTCCCGCCTCCTGGGCTCATCCTCCCGGGACCCTTGTTCCCAGGGATTGACAGCTGAGCACCCCTGCGTGAGCTTCAGTCTCAAGAGCTCTTCTCCTAGTGCTGCGGCACCAGGCTGGAATGGTGTTCTCAAAGTGGACAGCTCGTGTTGTGCCACTCCCTGTGTCCACGTGACATTGCCACCACATCACACCCCTCCCCGCTGAGCCCGACCATCCTTCTTTGCCCAGCTTTCCAGGCCGCCACCCCAAGCTGTCAGAGTTGACGCTTGAGACAAACCTGTTTGCCACCCTTGTGGCGAAAGGCCTGGGCATCGGGGTGCTGGCAGGCCATGGTTGGGCTGTTGAGGGGGACATGGCTCCTCCTGCGAGCCTGGCTGCGGTCAGCACGGGCCTGGCCCAGCGTGAGGACCTTCCCCTGTTGCTCGGTGTGGATTCCGCCCCTCCCAGAAGGAAGCCTGCCGCTCACCCGGGGAAGGCGGTTGCTGCCGTGGGTGGGGAGACTTGCTGCCTGCCTTGCTCCCATCGCAAAGATCTGTGCTCTCACTTCTCCGTGGTAGGGTTACACGCTTTTCGGGGCAGGTGGTTTGAAACTAACTCATGGTGCAGGAGAAAGAGCCGTTGACGTCTGACGAGTCTGGGTTCAGATCGGGAGTCTGTCGTCTGTGTGTGAGCTGGGGCCGCCTTTCTGAGCCTCAGGTCTCATCTGGAAGGCAGGGTTGCCCCGGCGGTTAAATGAGAGCGTGAATACAGAGCTGCTCACTGTGCCTTTGTGATGTTCTATACCCGAGGCACTCTCTGGTTCCTGAGAAGGGGCGAGAGGAGGCCCAAGGTGGCCACTGACACCCCCAGAGATGGCTTAGCACAATGAAGACTGAGCAGCCTAGGACCAAGTCAGTCACACTGAAAAAGGGGCCAGGCACTGTGCTGAGGGTTACGTGTGTCCCTCACCTCACCAGCCCAGCCCATTGCTGCAGTGGAGATTATGGCCCTTCAACCGCTGGGAGCCTGGGCCTGGAGAGCGAGGGACGGCCCCGGCTGCACGGGGACTGAGCGCACCCAGCTGGAGCCCGACTGGTCTGACCGGCGTGTGCCTGCTTGTGGCCCGGCCTGTGTCTGACCGTCCTTGGAAGTGCACTGGGGCTGCAGCGCCTGGTGGGAAGATGGGAGCTTGAGTCGGGAGGAGGGTTGGTTTCTAATCTGGGCTTTGCCTCCAACCACAGTGGCCCTTGGGAAGGTCACTCCCTCCCTCCGGGCCTCGGCTTATCCATCTGTAAAATGGAGGTGTTGCATTGGCCTTCCAGGGTCGTCCTCCGGGAGCACATGCTGCAGCTGGCACGTGCTGGCGCGTATCGTGTCCATGGCACAGAGTCGCTGCAGGGATGTGTGGGCAGCCGTGCAGGGGGACCCAAGCTGGTGCCAGGCAGCTCGGCCCTGCCTGTGTGTCGCTGCATCCCCACAGTGCCACGGCCACCCTCGGGGTGAGGAGAGCGATTTTCCTTGCCCTGGAAAGCATTTTAACTTTGTAAGGAGGGGCGTGTCCGCTCGTGTGCAGCCCTCACGCTTGCTCGCCTTGGCCCTGCCCCATCCTGAGCGTCCCGTTCCTTCTCCCGCAGCAACATGTCCAACGCCTTGGCCAATGCAGTGTGCCAGCGCTGCCAGGCGCGCTTCGCTCCCGCTGAGCGCATCGTCAACAGCAACGGAGAGCTGTACCACGAGCAATGCTTCGTGTGCGCCCAGTGCTTCCGGCCGTTCCCCGAGGGGCTCTTCTACGAGGTGAGGATGCTCCCGGGACCCTTGGCCGGCTGCCTTCTCGGAGCCCGAGCCCCTGACCCAGCTCAGAGCCTGTCCTCTAGGAGCCTGTGGGCCAGGCCCCACCCGGGTCCTGACCAGTGGCTGATGGCGTGGCTGTGCCAGGCCTTGAGCTGAGTGGTGCTCCTGCCAGCACCAGACCTTGCTTGCCATACCTTGTGAGCTCACCCCTCACCTGTGAGATGTGAACAGTGCTGCCTGGTGGCCGTGGGTGCTGAAGGAGAGTCACTGGTCTCCCAGGCCCTCTGGGCCAACACCCTGCCCTGGTGGCACTTGGGGAGGACAGTAAACACAGTAAATATAAGGTATATCAGATGGTGCTAAGTGCTCTGGTTATAAGGAATCTTGGTCGGGGGGAAGGGTGGGTGGTCAGGGACGGTAACGTTTGAGCAGACCTGAGGGAGGTGAGGGAGCCATGCACACCTTTGCAGGAAGAACACTCACCACACAGCCAGTGCAAAGGTCCTGAGGTTGGAGCGTGCAGGGTATTTGAGGAGCTGTGGGCGGCCGGTGTGATGTAAGCAGAGGAAAGGAGAAGGAGCAGCAGGAGATGAGGGCAGGGAGGCAGATTTTGTTTGGCCCCGCGGGCCTTTGTGGGGCCTTAGGGTTCCACTCCGGGAGAGGCGGGAGCCCTTGTAGGGGTCACACCATCTGCCTGACGTTTGGAAAGGACCACTCTGCTTGCTGTGCTGAGGAGAGACTGCAAGGGGCAGGGACAGAGCTGGAGAACAGGTGGGGCCAGAGCTAGATTATTGCAATAATCTGGGTGAAAGTGGACGGGTGTAGGCTGCGCTGCACACGCTCACAAGAGCAGATTGTTAAATTTTCAAAAATCTTGCGAGCTGGTTGTTAAACACAGCCATTATTGAAAATTAAATTCTATAAATATACAATGAGATAAAATGTTATTAAAAACAAAGGTAACATTGGGGCTGGCCCCGGCTCCGGGCCGAGTGGTTAAGTTCGCGCATTCCGTCCGCTGTGGCGGCCCAGGGTTTTGCTGGTTTGGATCCTGGGCGCGGACATGGCACCACTCATCAGGCCATGCTGAGGTGGGATCCCACATGCCACAACTAGAAGGACCTGCAACTAAGATATACAACTATGTACCAGGGGGCTTTGGGGAGAAAAAGCATACAAAAAATATAAAAAGAAGATTGGCAACAGTTGTTAGCTCAGGTGCCAATCTTTAAAAAAAACAAAAAAACAAAGGTAACAAATACTGAAAACTCACCATTCCCTAATCATTTTATTACATTTGCTATCACCAGTGCCTTTGTGGTTGTTCCTGTCTGTCGCACCTGCACGGTGAAAATGCCATGCACGGCAGCTGCTGTGCAGCTCTCAGCAGCTCCATGCCTGCATCACGCTGGTAGCTTGAAATTGGCCACGGTGGGAATATTTACACCATAAAAACTGACAAACGCTGCCGATAGGCCCCCAACCCCCCCCCGAGGTGGTGGTGGAACACTGACTGGCACGCCGGCGGTGGTGGCAGTGGAGCTGGTGGCCAGTGCCAGATGCGGGCAAGATTGGAGCTGATGGCATTGGCTGGCGGATGGCTGTGGGGTGTGATCTGCCTGGCAGAGTGGGAGCAGCTGTTCCTCATGGTGCCTCCTGGGAAACGCCGGCCAACTGCAGAGGCTGTGAGAGGGGTGGGCAGGGCCGTGTGAGCGGGTGCATGTGCCTAGGATGAAGCCTGGCACACAGCAGGTGCTTGGGAAGTACTCGCTGCTGAATGAGTTTATCCCCTGCTGCCTCTACGGGTCACCGCGCAGGGCTGTATCCAGTGGCAGCCTAAGAAGATACTCATTTTAGAGAACAGGGGAAACCAAATGAAATTGTCCAGGGAGAGGAAAGCAGAGAAAGGCTTTGGCCGCACTTGGGGCCAGCGCAAGGGCCCTCGTTGCCCAGACAGATGGGGACCGCGGTTGCCTGGCTGGGGTCCACACTGGCTCCTGCTGGCTGCAGGCCTCAGGGTTCTCCCTTGGGCTCCCTTCCCACCCCTCCCTGTGTCCCTCATTCTGACTCCCCTCCTGGGTCCTTTGTGGCCTCTGGGGGAAGTGGTCTTCTCACACAGAGAGGACACAGGAAAGACAGCAAAGTGACACATGCAGTTCCAGCCAGACCCCAGCCCTGCTCAGCCTGAGCTCCCGCCCCCTTGCTCCCAGGACCAGCAGGGCCCAGCTGTTCAGCACACAGCAGCAGCCCTTTGAGGGGTGGCCTTCCTGAGCTCCCGCCCGGCCCTGGCCCTCGCTGTGCGAGGCCCTCACTTGGGGCTCCTGCTGGGTCGGCGGGGCCAGTTCCCTCCCACCTCCAGGTCTTGCACCTGCTGTTCCCGCTGTCTGGACTGCCGTCCTCCCAGGACCTGCCGTCTGCTGCTGCCTTCTAGCTCCTTATTGCCCCTCCAGGAAGCCCTCTCTGGAGGGAGGGTTGGGTCCCCCTTCCTGTGTGGTAGCAGCTATATGAAGTGGGTACTCGTCCAGCCTCCCTGAGGGCAGGTCCTGACCCGATGAGGACCGGCCCGTGCAGCTCAGGGGAGTGACGGTGGCTTGCTTGTCCCTTCTCTGCTGGCCCCACGCAGTTTGAAGGCCGGAAGTACTGCGAACACGACTTCCAAATGCTGTTTGCTCCGTGCTGCGGATCCTGCGGTAAGGGCTGCGACACCCCGGCACTGCCCAGGAAGGGTGAGCAGGAGCGCGGGACTCCTCCCTGACCACCCACGCTCTCTGAGCTCCAGCCTTCAGGCCCCCGGCGGCCCCACCTTCCCACGATCTGGGACGGGAGCCCTGGGACCGCCGCGAGCCGGTGGAGTACCAGCGAGGACAGGACTTGGGAGGGGCTGTGGGGTGGGGGCGCGTGCCCTGCCCTGGCCAGCGGGGACCTCTCTCTTTCAGGCGAGTTCATCATCGGCCGTGTCATCAAGGCCATGAACAACAGCTGGCACCCGGGGTGCTTCCGCTGTGAGCTGTGTGACGTGGAGCTGGCTGACCTGGGCTTTGTGAAGAACGCGGGCAGGTGAGCCGGGCCGCCTTGGACAGTGAGGGGGGACCCTGGTCACAGGCGCTGTGTAGTGGGAGCCAGGTCCGGTCCAGGCAGATAGGAGAACCCTGTCCAGTTTCGGGGTGAGGACTGAGGCTGGAGAGAGTGAGGGTGATGAGGCAGGCCCACCCCAGGCTCGGGGGCGTTCCCGGGAGCAGGCTGGCAGCTGACAGCAGATGGCTAGGAGGAGGCCGGCTGGAGCAGGAGCCGTTAGACGCCGTGGAGGGATAGGGAGCTTTGAGGCAAGTTACTGCAGCCCGGCCACCCCGTGCTGCTGACTCCAACTGTCCGCCTCCCTCCACGTGCCCACGGTGGATGCTGCTGGACAGAACACGCCCCACTGGTGGCCATAACCCTGGTCGGCGCCCAGTGCCGGGTCTCTTTAGTAGGCCAAGTCCCACTTCCAGGGAGACTTGCTCTTTTCTCCTCACCCCCTCCTCCCACCGCTGTCTCTACACCCCCACAGTGAGCACCTCGCCTCCCACTTCCCGGCACCTGTACTGCCCCTGCCTCGGTCAGGTCACGGTCACAGTGGAAGCCATGTGCCTGTGCCTCCCACAGCCCCGCTCGCCCCTTGAGCGAAGGCTCCTGGCTTCCTCTGCTCTTTCCCCGTCTAAAGGATCAGGCTCCGTAGCTCCCGGTTCACACGCCTCGGAGCCTTCCTCCCGCTGCGGGTCTCTGCAGCACCCTGGGACACCTGCTGCCTCGGCCCAGCTGCTCCCCGTGGCCCAGGCTGGTCGGGGTCCCTGTGGTGTCCACGTTGCAGACCTGGGGTCCCTGCTGGGTCCTCCCTTGACCCCCCAGCGGCCTTCACTGCAACTCCCCTCCTTTGTGCTGAAAGGCCTCCTGTCAGGCTGCTCAGGACTGCTCCCGTGGTGTCCTGCGTCCTGCCTGCGCTTGTCCCTTTCCTCTTCTCCTTCCTCCATTGTCTCTTCATGTCGGGCTCTTTTGGGGCTCTGCGCTTGGCCCTCGTGTCTGCCCAAAGTCCCAGAGCCCTAACTGGCCCAACTGCCCACGTGCCATCTCCACTTGGTGTCCACCAGGCATCCCAAACCCAGCGGGTCCCCAGCGACACTGAGTCGCCCTCTGCTGCCCACTGTGTCTCAGGGAAGAGCACCGGCCGCCTCCTTGCCCACACCCTGGCTGCCACCAACTTCCACAGCCTCTCCTCTCTGGGCCCTCATCTCCGTCTGTCCTTCTGTCGTCGCAGCCTCCTTCCTTCCTGCTGTAGTGATCTCGTCTGGTGGTGCGAGCCGGCCCCACCAGAGACACACGTGGCCTCGTGTCTGTCTTGATGTCTGCAGGGCCCTCAGCCGGAGCCTGAGCGTCGCTGGTCTAAATGAGAGGCTGTCGGGCAGACAGTGCAGCGGCCCCGTGCTGCTGACCATTGGGGTCACCTGCTGAGTGCGGCCTGAGGGGGTCCTGTCCCCTTCCTGAGCCACAGCTCACACAGTTTGTTGGGAATATTCAGAAGAGACTGGAAGTGCTTGGGAAAGTAAGGTGGGATACGAAAGGGCCACGTTGCTGTCACAGAAGGGGGCAGGGCCGTCTCTCAGACTCTCCCTGGCCCAGGTGCACTCTGAAGCCCACGATGCAGGACTCGGAGTCCGCGGGGGCCAGGCAGGCCATGCGGCCGCCGGAGCACAGTTGAGGGCGTGCGCAGCCCTTGCCTCTGCTGCCTTCGCCTCCACTTTGCCATTCTCGGGTCGGGGGGAAGAGAAGTTCTGGGAAGGGCATTGTGTTAACCAAAACAGTAACCTTCAGAGTCTTAATGTCCATTATATTTATGATCAGTATAATCAAGTACAGAAAAGGACCTGTTAGGGCTATGAAGTGAAGCAGCTGGGAGCTTGGTGGCCAAGGTGGTAGAGGCCTCTTGGGAGGGAGCGGGGCTAAGGATGCCCCTGCTGGGGCTGAGTTAGCGGAAGACACGTTCACGTGGCAGACCCCGGCGACCACGGCGACCTCAGGCAGTGACAAAGCTCGGCTCCCTGAGACTGTCTGCCCTTGCTTTGTCCTCGACCAGGGCTCGGGAGGGGCTGTGCAGCTACCCAGAAGCTCTGGGGCTTGTCAGCCCACATGTGGGTCTGTGTGTGGGTTATAACCGGAGGGTCAAGAACTGATGTCCCCACAGGCCATGTGTGCTGGGTGTCAGCTGGTGGCCAGCCTGAAATGACTTACCGTGTTCAGCTGTAATTTATAGTTCATGTCCCCTGAACTCAGGGGCTATCCGGCAAAGGTGCCACATGGGAACTCAGAACACCTTGCACTTCAAAGGAAATATTTAGATGCTCCACCCACCAAGATTCCCACGTCCCCTCTTCTGGGCCGTTTGCCCTCGGGGCTCCTTTCTGCAGAGGCCGGGCCACAGTGCCTTTCTGTAGCGGGGAGGAGGCGGGGGCCTGAACGTTCCTCCTCACCGCAGGGTGAAGCCCCCAGGATCTAGAGCCGTAAGGGTACAGGGCCGCCACAGTCTACAGAGGGGTGGCCAGTGGTCCCTGTAGTCAGTTCTCCCTTTTTAGGGAGTTTCGTATTAGGTATAAGCCAGAACTCAGCGCTGGATGATTAGTTTGGACCTTGGAGGAAGGGTCGTGACCTGCTGAGGTTTCTGTTTCCCATCTCGGGGCAGCTGGGGAGAGGGGAGCTTCTCCTGTGCGTTTGGGAGAAGCTGGAGCCCCCCGGGGAGCTGCCCTTCTGCGACAGTCTGCGGCTGGCCGGGCGGGTTGGGTCTCAGAGCTCGGACCTGGCGCTCAGGGAGCTCTCGTTGGTCTTGCCGTCCAGGCTGGGGGGCGGGCCCGAGAGCCGCCGGCCGCAGAGCAGGTTACAGAGGGCGTCGCGGAACTTCTCGGCCACAAAGAAGTACATGACGGGGTCGAGCGCCCCGTTGAGGCTGGTGAGGCAGGAGGTGACGCGGTTGCCCAGGGCCAGCGCGCGCTGGGCGGCACAGGAGGTGCTCCCGCGGTAGAGCAGCAGGTAGAGGGAGCGGTGCACGTGGTAGGGCACGAAGCACACCAGGAAGATGGCCAGCACCATGGCGATCATGCGCACCGCCTTGCTCTTGAGGCGCTTCTCCACGCGCGGGCCCTGCCGCAGGCTGCGGATGATCAGCAGGTAGCAGGTGACCGTGGTGACGAACGGGAAGGTGAAGGCCACGGCCAGGGACGCGAGGGCGTGGTGGGAGGCCTTCTCCCGGTACAGCTGCAGGCAGACGACCGTGTGGTTGGTCTGCACGGTCTGCGGGCTCACCAGCAGCGGGGCCATGGCCACGGCCACCACCACCCAGAGGAAGGCGCAGGCCAGGTGGGCATAGAGGGGTCTGCGGAGCTTGAGGGACTTGACGGGGTGCACGATGGCCAGGAAGCGGTCAGCGCTGATGCAGGTGAGGAAGTAGATGCTGGCGTACATGTTGAGGTAGAAGAAGAAGCCGGTGAGTCGGCACGGGATTTCCCCGAATGGCCAGTGGTTCCCGGAGAAGTGGTAGACCAGGCGGGTGGGCAGGACCAGCACACAGGACAGGTCGGCCACGGCCAGGTGCATCAGGAACACGTTGGCAGGGGTGCCCGACTTGTGGTCCCGCATGAAAAGCCACAGGGCCAAGGCATTGCCCACAAAAGCCAGGATGAAATCCAGGAGGTAGAAGGAGGCGAAGAGGACGTTCTCCAGCGGCGTCTCCTGGCCGCATTGCTCTGCGGTGGCCAGCGAGGAGTTGGTGATCAGACCTGAGGAGGCCAGCTCAAGGCCATTCATGCTTTGGCTGGAGGCAGAGCTGGGGCACGAGCCTGGAGGGAACAAGCAGACAGGTCCCAGAGAGCCTGGGACAGGTGAAGTGTCACCCTCTCTGGAGGTCCAGGAGCCTCGGGAAGCCTTCAGGCTCTGCTGACCCTGACCTTGGCCCTGACCCCAGGGACGGCACTGCTCTAGGCTGGGCGTTGCCCTGGGGACTACTGAGGGGTACCTCCTGTGTCCATTGGGGGGTTTTCTGAACTTCAGCAAAAAGTAGAAACAAAGCCAGGGCCCGGAGCTTTGCAAGGCTGGTCCTGGGGTGGCCTTCCCCTTGCTAAGCTGTGTGCCTGCTGAGCATGTGAGGGCCTGGGGGACAGAGTCAGCCCCACGGGGAGCAGGGAGTGAACCCCGTATGTCTGAGGCTCTGGAGGCAGGAGGGCGGAGGGAGGGGCCCCACGTTTTCTGTCCCGTTCCCAGGTTGCTGTCCGAGTATGAGGGGCTGGCATGTGCGGCCCTGAAGCCCCACTCCTGATGGATGGGGGGCAGGTTACCTGTTCCTGAGAGCCTGGTGCACGGAGCCTGGCCAGCTCCTCAGACCTCGGCCTGGCCGGTGCCGACCTGCCTGCCCAGCCCACGGCACTTCCCACGCGTGCTGTGTCCCTGCTTCCTGCCTCTGTCCTGCGCCAGCCACGCAGGAGGGCCCCCGGGGATACAGTGAGGCCAGGTCCTGGGAGGTCAGGGGCCTGCTCTGTCTGCTGGCACCCGAAGGCCGTCCAGGCCTGGATCTCAAGGTCTCTCGAGCTTTCTGGACTCAGCCCACCCACTCTGTTTGGACATCCTAGTGGGTGGAGACCTGTACTTCAGGGAGCCGTGCGCTTGGGCCTCAGGCCAGCCATGGGGGTTTGACTAGCGGAGCACTGGACAACCAGGAGGCAGACTGTCCCAAGAGAGCAAGAGCCACTGTCCGCAGAGGCGGAGAGCCCACCGGGGTTTCCCCACCCAGATCTCAATCTCAGGCCTGTCCGAGGCCGCCTGTCTGCCTGGCCTCGGTCTCCTGCTTTCCCCATCCCTGAGGGGCCCCCTTCAGAGCCCTGCCGACCGAGGTGAGAAGCTGTTACATCTGGTGAACCCCAGTTCTGGGGGGTTCCCCACCACTCCCTGGCAGATGGGGAAACATACTCCTGTGTTGATTTTGATCAACTCAAGAGATCCCCAAAGGAGAGGGAGGGTCAGACACTGGCCCCTCATCTGGCCTGAGCACAGGTGAAGAAGCCAGGCCCGGGGGGAGGGGAGGCAGCAGGTGGGGGCTGGGGTTCGGGGGGCTGGGCTGTCAGGCAGCAGCTCCACCGTCCTCATGGAGCCTGTCAATGGGGTCCCTGCGCCCCTCCCCACGTGGAGGCTGGCTGAGTGGGAGGGAGCCAGGGGCAGTGTGAGCGAGTGGCAGAGAGCTCAGGCCAGCTGATGTCCTCAAGTAAGGGGCGAGGTGGCACTTGCCTAATCCTGTCACATTTTGAAGGGATCCGAGGAAGCTGCCCTGTGCAGATTCTCTCCCCAGGACGCCTGAAGTTCTCATACAGACGTTTCCCTGTGGTGTGACCTGAGGGGGAGGCTTGGAGGCTGGGGGAGGGGTGGGGCCAAGTGAGTGCAGGGTCTTGTTGGAACTGGGGTGTCAGGGGCTGTAGAGGGGCTGAGCTGGGTACCCTCCACTCTAGGCCGCCCCTCAGGGCAGGGCGTCGGCACCCGGCCCCTCTGTGAGGGCTCTGCCTGCCATGCTCGCTTACAGCAGTCCTAAGAGGCAGGCTGCGGGAGCCCCATTTTATAGCTTAGGAAATCAAAGCTCAGGAGCAGCTAACTCGCCCACGGTCACGTGGCCAGAGGCAATGGCCCTGGAGCTGGACGGCAGGTCAGGGACACCCCACACCTCCCAGGTCACGGCCTTCCTCTGGGGGCTGGGAGTATGGCTGGTCGCAGAGCTCACCCTGGTGTTGTCTCCCAGGCTGAGTGCCTCCTCTTCGGGGCCTGGCCCCCAAATTTGGGGGCCCCAGTGCACAATGAAAATGCGAGCCCTTCTTCAAGGAGTAGGAATTTCAAGATGATGACAGCAGAGCATTAAACGGAGCCTGGGCCCCTTTGTGGCTGCACGGGGTGGATGTGCCAGTGCCTGGCTTTCTGCCTCCTGCGGGCCTGGCCTCCCACCCCGCTGAGGGCTGCACGCTCCCTGTTCTCTCTGGGAGGGACGCTTGACTTTAAGACGCTTTCCGGCTTGTGTCTGGCTTGTCCAGGTTTCTCTGCCCTCCCCCGTTTTAGGAGTTTGGATCCTGGTTTTTGCAGCGGGGTCTGAAATGGGCCCTGCGTCACTCTCCGTGCATCCCCTGGAAGTGTGAGCCTGGCCTGCAGTTGCTGGCTCCCCGATGGCTTGGTCTGCTCAGGGCAGGGCGGCTGGGTGGGGTGCACGCAGTGGGCCTGGGCAGCGCGGGCCGCGGCTGAGGGTAGGTGAGCGTCAGGGCACAGGGGTGACCGAAGAACGAGGCCTGGAGGGAAGTGCTGTGGTGGGGGTGGCCTGGCGCCTCCTCCCTGTACCCCGGGCCAGTGCTGAGAGCCTGGCTGTGGATTCCGGCTGTCACTGCGGCTGTGGGGCTCAGGCAAGGCTCAGCCTCTGTAAGCTGACGGTGGGACAGGAACACTGCCTGGCAGCACCGCCACCGTTCAGACCGGGGCAGCCCTCAGTAAATAGGTTATGCCGTTATCACAGAAGTGTCTCGGGGACAAGGACACCCTCGTCCCTGTCCTGCTCCGAGTTTGCCTCTGCTTGGGCCCCGAGCTCCCTGCCTGCCCCTCCCAGCGCCAGCCCTTACCTCTCACAGCAGGTCCAGGCAGAAGGGGCAAGAGGGCTGGGGGGCAGCAGGTGGGCCGTGACCAGTGGGTGGTGGCGCTGGGGTGGGCTCTGTGCAGCTGTGGTGGAGGGCTGCTATTTAAGGAGAGGAGGGGAGGCTGCAGCCCCTCTGGCCTGAAAGGCCGCTTCATTCCCGAGGGTCCCTTGTGTGGTGGGCCACTCCCCAGCTGCCTCTGCTGCCACAGGGCTGTGAATATTCCAGTGTGTCCCAGCCCATGCGCCCCCCCACTCCAGCTCGGCCACCGAGCGTCACAGAGGCTGAGTGTGTGACTGTCTCAAAGCCATGGAGTGGGCGTGGGCTGGGTGGGGGGACGGGCTGGGACCGACAAACACAACAGGACGCTTCAGAACGGGATAATTTCCTACTAGTGGTGGGGCAGGGAGGGGCTGGCTGCCATGGCAATGGGCCCGGGCTCCCAAGCCTGCTTGGCCCCCAGTGCAGGGGGTCTTGTGAATGGGAGGGTGGGAGGCTGAGGAGTGTTGTCTGGTCGAATGAGAGGGGACTCTTTCAGAACACTTGCTGTAGGGTCCTTGTGTCCTGCCCCATATAATGAGGCTCCGTTTGGGCGTGCGGAATAAATCATGGCCTTTATCTCGAGCGAGGCACAGCTGCAGGCCACCTCATAATGGGGCCCTGTGTGAGCCTGTGGGGACACAGCTCAGCCCTCGAGGCCCGGCCCTCACCTGTGCGGGCTCCTCCTCTGGACAGGAGGCTGTGATGAGGGCCACTGCTGCCCACTCGCCCAGACTCCTCCTGGGGGTGGCTCGAGGCTGGAGGTGCTTGGATGTGGCAGTGGCTCTCCTGAGTCTGCCCAAGCAAAGCTTGTTTCTCTCTGTCTTTTCAAAAATGATATATCTGCTAACACAGGGGACAAAATCACTGTTCCTAATTTCAAAAGACCTTTAAACTTTTTAGTTGAAGTGTTAAAAATGTATGTAGCTATCATTGGGAAGTAACTACCACATGTATCACCTAAAATTTGTCTTTTCGCACAAGCCTGTGCCGTTGGGGTTTCTGGATTGCCCGTTTTACAGAGGAGGAGACTAGGCTCAGGGGTGCGTAACTTGCCAGTGACAGATCACCAGGAAGTGGCAGAGCCAGGATTTGAACCCAAGCACATGCCACTCCAAAACTATGCTTTGTGTGTGTGTGTGTGTGTGTGTGTGTGTGTGTTTTGTTCTGTTTTTCTGTTGCACCTTGATGCTAGAATTCTTAGGTTCCATCTTCATTCTACCTGGAAAAAAAATCTGCAAGTTGCCGTTTCCTCTGGCACTGGCATCAGGTCTGTCGAAAAGGTGTTTCTCATCTGGGGTTCCTTCAGGAGAGCCAGGCTCCTCTGTTCTGTCTCACCTGGGAGTCAGTGGGGTGTGCAGGTGTGCGAGTGGGGGCAACCCCCTCAGTGCCGTGCCCTGTAAGGTGCCATCTGGAAGAACCAGCTCCCACGGTTTGAAATGAGGGTGTCCGACTGGCTGCCCTGAGCAGGGCATGTCTGAGGTTGGGGTGATTGCTGACAGTGGCTTTAAGGGCACTGACCACTGCAACAGAATTTTGGGGAGTTGCGCTAATTTCTATAGCTTTGAAACAAAAATTGTTTCATGTGGGTTGAGTGTAGTCCTAACGCTAAGAGGAGTCCCCAGAATTGGGAGTGGGGTAATGGGGAATAAACGCTGTGTCTGTGACAGAGACACACGCAGGTGGCAGATTGCTATGGAGAGGGCTAGCCACAGGGGAGAGGGTCAGCCCTGGGCCCGCTGTGGCAGGTGGCCTGGGCTCGGCACTGGGGGCACAGGGTGTCTGGGTCAGAGTGTAGTGGGAAAACCCATTGGGCTTCAGAGATCTGGGGACTGAAAGGGGTAAAGTCTTAGTTCTGGAGATGAAGACTGCAGCCACAGGCCACGTCTGTGGCCCATGGGCAGGTAGAGGAGCCAGGGGTCCTGGGCCAGCAGCCACTGCCCTCTGTGGCAGACATGCAGGGTCCGGTGAAGCATGGCGGGGAGCCGGTCAGAAGCTTAGCTTGGGCCCCTGCCCTTCACACGCACTGGGGAGATAAGACACACACAGGGCAGTAGTATGTGCAGCATGCAGTCCAGACCCAAGTGAGGTGGCAGGCGCTGTGGTCCAGCACATGGATGCTGAGTTGGCTGCCCTGGCTTCTAGGATCTGCCCACTACACCTGCATAGGGGATCCTGAGTCTGTGAGTTAATCTCTGAAGTAGACTCCCTGACGTGCCTGTGAAAGGGGCCGATGCTGGCATCAGGTGGTGGAGGCTGGCGGGGCGGACAGGCTTCCTGTGGATTGGGGGCCTGGAAAGTGGAGGGGGGGGCCCGGATGCATCAGGAACACTTACAGATGGGGGGGGCAGGTGGGGGACGAGGAGCAGTGGATTGGGGCCTTTGTGCATCTTTGCCTGGGGACCCTGAATCTAAATTCCTGCCACCTTTGAGGCCCAAGGACACAGAAACCATGTTGATTTCTCTCTCAGTAGAGACCACAGCTGTTACTCAATGCAGAGAGAGGCATCAGAAATTACTCCGAGGTCTTTACAAAAAAGACTCTGTAATGACACATCCTGGGTTTGGGGGCCTCCATCTGACACAGCCGTGCTTGTCTTTGGAGACAGAAAGCCTGTAGATGTTTGGGTCCCTCTGTGTCTGGCAGACCCCAGAGGAGGCGGGTGTGCAGGCCCTGGCATGTCTCGGCCACTCTGCTGGGCACAGCTGGGATTGAAGGCTAATAGTTACTATACAGTTACTCATGGGTGTTAAAAGACATTTGAAAAATGAAACCGATTCTTCAGCAAATGCCAATAAAACAACATCTACTCTATTCTGCATGATGTCCTAGGCTCAGAAGAGGTGTCAAGAAAAACCTATCACGTTTGCCCTACTATCCGAAGATGGCAGACTCCTCCAATATGGTGCATGTCCTTCCAGTCCTTCTCCTGTGCAGACACCCCTTTTAGAGGATGCGTCTGGCCTTCCTGCCGCAGGGGCGGTCCCTTGCTTTCCTGGCCTGGCCCCTGGAGGCCCGCGGGCATTTGCTAGAGTTGTGTGTGGGGGAGTGGGGCGCGGATCTTCTCCAGGGAGGCAGCCGGGCTGTCTGCAGAGGAAGAGGAGGCCTGGCGTCTGCCCCTAACCCCCGCCTCCCTTCCTGCAGGCACCTGTGCCGGCCTTGCCACAACCGTGAGAAGGCCAAGGGCCTGGGCAAGTACATCTGTCAGCGGTGCCACCTGGTCATCGACGAGCAGCCCCTCATGTTCAGGAATGATGCGTACCACCCGGACCACTTCAGCTGCACCCACTGTGGGTGTGTATGGGCAGGTGGAGAGCCAGTGGGGGTGGGACCGCCACCCTGGCAGTGATGGAGCAGGAGAGATGGCCCCGTCCTGAGAGTGGGGCGCAGGGTGGAGGTGGAACGGTCCGGGAAGGCACAGCTGCAGGGGACCCCTCCCTCAGGGCGCTGTTCAAGCAGGGCTCGCATGGGTCCTGGCTGGAGCCTCGTGGGTGAGGGAGGGCTGGGACCCCGCTGAAGCTGAGAGGAAGGAATCAAAGGCAGAGGGCATGGGTGGGGAGGAGGGGTCCGTGCTGGTGTTGGAGAGGGGAGCGAGGGGAGAGAAGCTACAGAGCCGTCCCCCCAGATCACAGTCTGCTGTGGAGGGGCCCGGAGAACAGATCAGCTTCTCAGAGGGCCTGACAGGGCGGAACACAGGCCGCCTTCTGCAAGGGCCAGGCAGGAATCCTGTGCCCCGGGGCCTGTCTGGGCCACAGGAAGTCTCCAAAAGGATCAGAGATCAAAGAGCCCCCTGCCCTGGGTGCTCTGCTGGGACAGTGGGGCCTGCACCCCTGGGGCTGGAGGAGCTGGTGTGACCCCCACCAGCACAGGCCCTCAGAGAAGGCCTGGGGGCTCCACACTGTCTTCCAGGAAAGAGCTGACTGCTGAGGCCCGTGAGCTGAAGGGTGAGCTCTACTGCCTGCCCTGCCATGACAAGATGGGCGTCCCCATCTGTGGGGCCTGCCGCCGGCCCATCGAGGGTCGTGTGGTCAATGCGCTGGGCAAGCAGTGGCATGTGGAGGTGAGTGGGGTTGGCCCAGATGGGAGGTGGCGTCCCCATGAAGCCCTCCGCTCTCCCACCCCCAGAACGTGGGCTGGCTCCCAGCAGGCACCTTCCTCTTGGGTGCTGCCCCTCCTCCCTCTGGCTGGGGACCAGCTGGTCCACAGGAGCCAGGAGACCAGAGCGCACAGCCCATGGTTGGGCAGCCACGCTCATCTTCCTTCTTCCCCCTGCTGGCCTTCTAGAGGATTCCAAAGTGATAAGAAACCCTTGGGGACCACCTGCCCAGGCAGCTGGGTGGGACTGCAGCTGACGGAACCGGGTGTGCGTACAGCCCACACAGACGTGGAAGCCGGGCACACCTGCAGGGGAGCTCCTTAGGTGTGTCCCATGGGTCACCTGGCGCACTCACCCCTGCACTGGGGCTCTAATGGTCCTATGGACACTACTCGGAAGGGAGGTTTTCGATCCCCAGTGACCTGGCCAGCTGTGTATCCCAGAACCTCTGCCTTGGGTGGTGTCTTTGAGAAGGTCGCCATGCAGCCCTGGCCCCCGCGCGCTGTGGGAGGGGATCCTCACACGCAGAGTCCTCACCAAACAGAAGATGCTGCTCTGAGACTGCAGGCCTGGCCCCTGGGGGATGCCCATGGGGGGCAGGTGCATGCAGCCTTCTGAGGGGCACCATACTGACACCAGCAGCCCCCCAGGAGGGCCCGCACCTGACAACTTGGGCTGAGGCTGCAGGCCTGGAGAGGACGGGGACGCCGGTGTCACTGGGTGTTACAGAAGGAGCGGGGTCTGCTGACCCAGGGCGGTGGCCCACTGCCCCACTGTGAGCCAGCGAGGCACTCTCCCCAGGGGCCTCTGCTTCCTGTCCCCCCGCCACTCCCCAGCCCCGACACTGCCCTCTCCCCTAGCACTTTGTCTGCGCCAAGTGTGAGAAGCCGTTCCTGGGTCACCGGCACTACGAGAAGAAGGGCCTGGCTTACTGTGAGACCCACTACAACCAGGTAGGGCTGGCCCAGAGGGTGCGCTGGCAGGGCCTGCGAGGCCACGGCTGGAGGGGCTGCGGGGCGGTGAGAAGGCTGCCTGTGAGCGCTGGGGGACGGGAGGCAGTAGGCAGCCCTGGCAGGAGGTCAGGAGCTGTGCTGGTGCTAAGGCTGGGCCTGAGTGCCCAGCCCTGGCTCCTGGCTCCTGGCTCAGCAGCCCTCCCGGCCTCTGGCTCCTCATTTGAGAATTGTGCCTCTGTGGCCCAGGCCTGTTGTGGGACTGAACGAGATGACAATGTGAAGCCCTGGGCTCACAGGGGTGGCATTTACCACCACCCGCTCCCTCTCGCCATGTCTGGCAAAGCCACCCAGTGCTCTGGTGCAGAAGACAGGGGTTCCCACCCTGGCCCACACCTTGCAGGACACTGGCAGGAGCAAGGGGCCTTTTGGGGAGGAATGCCCTTACTGTCGTCCTTCCGGGGGATGATGGGCCCGCGGTGCCCCCACACCTGGCCTGAGGCTGTGCCCTGCCAGGTGGATGCTGAGAGCTGCCGTTTGGGGGGGGTGGGCGGGCCAAACCCCTGGCCCTGGGCTGAGGCACATCTGCCTGGTTGACACGCTGCTCTGTCCACAGCTCTTTGGGGACGTCTGCTACAACTGCGGTCGTGTGATTGAGGGCGATGGTAAGATTCCTCTGTCCCTGTGCCGCCTCCCTCCCCTGGCCCCCGGCCCCCGGCCCCTGCTCCCTCTCTGGGCCTGGGTCCTGCAGCTGCCGCCCCACTGGCCCTCAGTCTGCCCTGCTAAACCCCACCCGCATCTGTCCGTCACAGTCGTGTCAGCCCTCAACAAGGCCTGGTGTGTGAACTGCTTCTCCTGTTCCACCTGCAATGGCAAGCTCACCCTGAAGTAAGTCGGGCCAGCCTCCAGGGGTGCTCCAGGGGTGCGCTGGGCAGAGAGGACTTGCACAGTGTCTCCCTTACTCCCTTTGCCCACCCTCCCTATGGAGCGTGTCCCGGGGGCTTGGATTTGAGTGGGCTTTCCATGGGCTCTTCCTTTCCTCAGGCTTTCCCTGAATGCCCACTCTGGTTAGGACCTGGGGATGCTGTGGGAGCAGGGGGCAGCCTCGGCCCCACGGAGGCAGGTCCAGGGACTTGCAGGGCAAGTGACATGAGCCTCCACCACACCTGTGTAGACCCTGGGCTCTGGGGAAGGAAGGGCATTCCAGCCCGGGGAACAGCATATTCAGAGGCAAAGCAGTCAGACCATGGCCTCATCCAGGAGGCCAAGAGGGGTGCAGGATGGCTGGAGCTGTGAGGTGTGATGGAGCCCAGGTTTCTGAGGACAGCAGGAGCCAGGGATGGTTCTGGAGTCTCAGAATCCAAGAGAAGTCTCTAGGAGGTGAGGGAGGCTGCAGCCCGCCTCCTTGCCAACTGTGACCTCTGGCTAGTAGCTCATCTGGGGCTTGGCCTGCAGGCTGGAAGCAGGCTGGTGGGGAAGGCTGCGGGCTAGGGGCCAGGGAGGCCCACTCCTTGGCCTCGATGGGGTCAGAGGAGGCCCAGCCCAGGGTTGGTGGGGTGTGGGGCTCTCCTGACTGCGGGACATCCCCCCAGGAACAAGTTTGTGGAGTTCGACATGAAGCCTGTGTGTAAGAGATGCTACGAGAAGTTCCCGCTGGAACTGAAGAAGCGGCTGAAGAAGCTGTCGGAGCTGGCCGCCCGCAAGGCACACCCCAAGTCTGTGGGCCTCAACTCTGCCTGAAAGGCCCCTGCCTGCCTCCCGCCTCTCCCTTCCTGCTGGTCTCCCTGCTCCTCCTGCCCCTTCTGTCCGCTGCCTCGGCTCTGCATCTGTCTCCTCCATCTGTCGCCTCTCCCCGTCTCCTCCCTCCCTCCCTCCCTCTCTTCTCCTCATCTCTCTGCTCAGCAGTCGTCCGTCCCCTCTTCTCTCACCCCTGCCTCCTCCCCACATGCCTCTTCTCTCCCTGGCCTTGGGCTCCTCCCCTTCCTTCTGTGCAGACCCTGGGCATAGGCGGAGGCCCTGGAGGTGGTCAGCCTGTGACGGGCCTGTGCCCACAAGCTTCAGCCTGAGGTCCTCCAGCGACAGGAGTGAATCAGTGCCTGGGGCCACCCGGCCCCAGCCTGTCGTGACCTCTCCCATCCCTGTAGGGGGCCTGGTGGCTCACTTTCTCCTGTGGGAGCTTGGCCAGCCTCCACCCTAGCGTGGCCCCACTGTGCGCACATGGCCCTGGGACCAGGGCCACGAGAATGGGGGCCTCTGGCGAACCGCCCTGCCACCCTTCGGCCACACACTCACTGAACCAAGTAGGATCCCTGTGCCCAAACTGGGCCAGCAAGCCCTGCCAGCTGCACCCCACGAATCAGCAGGAGGGCCAAGGGCCCCACTCCCCCATCACCCAGGAGGCCTCCTTCCTGAAATCCTGCCTTGGCCACTCCACTGTGCTTCCTCCAGGCTCCTCTGTGGCCCCCACAGCCCCTCCAGCTCCACCCCCCCAGGGTACATGCTGACTCTCTGGGTGCGGCTGGGGGTCAGGAGGTGGTGGGGCCAGCTGGGTGGCTCATTCCTACCCTCCAGAGACGACACTTCCTCTGTGGCCAGCACAGGACCTGGCATTGTGACTCACACTTGCACAATGAATGAAGGCTTATGTACACGCCACACGGCCCGTGTGTTCTGTGGCATGGGGAGTGAGGCATGGGCGGCGGCCCCTGTGGACACACTGCTGCAGGGTTGTTGGACACTTGGAGACCAACATCAGATAGGACAGGCAAAGAGCTGCTCAGCTGGGACCCAGCCCTTGTTCCTGGGGCCAGGCTGCCATCAGGACTTGGAGATAAGGCCAGCCAGAAACCCTCAGTCCACCAATGCTGGCCCCCACCCTCTTCTCTCACTGACACAGTCGCCACTGATCCGTGAATTTTTATTGACTGTTCTTGAGGTGGGGGGTCCTCTCAGCCATCCACCCACCGGCCTGGAGGCCTGACACTCCCGCCCTGCCCTAGGCTCCCTGCTGTGGCACCGATGGTCAGCACCTGGGGGAGGGGGCCTGCTTGGGGTGCTGAGGGGCCTGGGGGTGTGTCTTGGGGAGAGGGCAGCATGAAAGGCTGCCTACTGAGGGCAGGCCCAGGGCTGAGAGGAGGGCCCTAGGGAGGTGCCACCGGGACCCCGAATTGGGAAGGGTGACTGAGTGGCAAGCAGGCCCCGCTGCTACAGCTCGGCCAGGGCTGGCGCCTGGGAGCCCCGCTGCTTGTTCACAGTGCTCAGGAGCTGCTGCACATACGAGGTCAGCAGGTCGTCCATCTTGTAGCCCTGGACACAGGAAGTGGGGGTCAGAGGCTGTGGCACAATAGGGGGCTGGGACCAGGGCCTGGCAGTGCTAGCTTCTGCCGCTGCAGGAGGGAGGGAGCAGTGTTCTTGCTGCTGGGAATGGAGTGCCCCCCTCCTCCGAGTGCCTGGGGCCTCGGCCAAGGCCAGGCCTTGCTGCCATGCTCCCTGGGTGACGCACCCAGCCCTTCCCGCACCGTGCCTCCTTCCAGGCCTCTGCTGGTCCAGCCCGGCCTTGCCCACCCCAGGCACAGGTGGCCGGGCCCTTATAGTGAGCAACTTGCCTGGTGGCAGCCGGGGGTCAGGGTGGGGGAAACCCAACCCCTGGTGCCTCTCAGTCTGTGTGTCTGGGCTAGGAGAAGGGACTCAGGGCCCTCAGGAGGCCCCCAGGCCTAGGGCTCACCAGAGAGGTCTCACACAGCAAGCGGCTGCCCCGGCCCAGGGTCCCCAGCACCATGTGGAAGTAGGTGCTGCCGCTGCTCCAGCTGGCGATCTTGGTGAAGGGGTAGGTGGTGAGCAGCTCCTGGGGGTGGGGGGCAGGGTGAGTGGGAGCCGGCTGAAGCCCTGGGGCCCAGGGACCTGAGTCTGAACTGCTGCCCTAGGGCCCTCCAGAGCGCATGGGGCTGTTGGGGGTAGGGGCGACAGGAGGGCAGGTGACCAGAGCCCCCCACACACAGGGGTCCTGGGCCCTTGGTGGCCTCCCAAGCCCTGCTGGGCCCTGCTGCTACCTTGGTCTTGGGATGGATAAGCAGAACCCCGTGCCGGTTGATGGCAATGAGGATGATGTCCGGGTAGGAGGGCTCCGAGGTTTGCTGGGGAGGGGTTATGGTGGTCACAGCCCAGCCCAGGAGGCCAAGTGGCCACCTCCCTGAGGCACACACACACACACACGCATGTGCACACATGCTCCTCCCAATCCTGGTGGCTGGAGATGTGTGCTGGGGCAGAAGCTCAGGCTACTGTGGCCAGAGCCGGGGGTCCTCCTTGGTGAGGACAGTGGGGTGTGGGGCGAGGCCTACCTTCACCTCGAAGAAGGCAGACCCGAAGGTAGGCCACCGGCAGATCCACTTCAGGAAGGCCACTTTGGCCTCCTCCACTGTCTTGTCCCTGTGCTGTTCACAGGCCAGAAGGATGCTCTGCGGGAAGTGAGGGCCAGTGAGGGCCTGTGGGGCCCACTCTGCCCAGCCGGGCCCTCCACATGGGGCCCTGAGGCCGGGTCCAGAGCAGTGCCTGCCTGCCTGAGGCCAGCGTGGGGGCACTTAGAGCCGAGTGTGTCCTCCAGCCCCGGGAGGAGAGAGTGTCTCCCGCATGCTGTGGACGGCGTGGGGAGCGCGTGCCGTCCGCAGGCCCAGTCCACCCTCCATGCCCAGGAATGTGCTCGTCCTGCCCAGGCAGGGCCTGGCACCCTTGCCCCCGGCGGGGTCCCCGGTACAGGCAACAGCCTGAGGGCCCCCTCCCCAGCCCGTCAAGGACCTTTCTCCATTCCTCCGAGGACATCAGGCGCGTGAGGTTCTCAGGCACGAGCTCCCTCAGGATCTTGGGGATGCTAGCTAGGTGGGCCCGGTCGTTGCCAAACTGGGCCTTGTAGATGAGGCCTGCCAGGTGGATGGCGTCCTCCCGCGAACACTTGTGGAACCCACGCAGGTACTTGGGCAGCTCCTGGGTGATGGACACACTGGGCCTCAGGCTGCTGCGCCATAGCCCTTGTGCTCCGGTGGGAGGGGTGACAGCCTGCCCCCATCCAGGAGACTGAGCCAGCAAAAAGCTAAAGCCCTCCGGGTAGGGTTCCCAGCAGAGGAGCGACGCCCCAGTGGGAGCAGGACTCCCTGACGTCACCGTGGAGGCGGTGGCTCTGTAGGCGGCTCTTCAGAGCCCCCTCTCCTCTGGCAGTCATGCTGCAGGTGCTGGCACATCACTGTCCCCAGACGCTGCTGTCCCTCTGCTCCCACCAGAACTCTCAGGGGCTTGGCCTGCCCACCACAGGGGGCCTCAAGGGCCTCCGGAAGCCCCTGGCATGGGGCGGGTGCTGGGGGCAAGGTGGCCGCTGGCCTGCCACCGCCTCCACCTCTCCGGGCAGGTGTGGGATAGAGGGAGGGTGGACTCAAATGCCCCGAGGAGGGAGCCTGCTGGGTACCTGGTGGTAATGCAGTATGGTGTCTGCATTCACGTCCTTCCCTGGGACCACGTGGAGCCACAGTTTCCTCATGAAGTACACCTGGTAGGGGAGGGTCACGGCGGCCCCTGGGCAGGGGCCCGGTGAGCACCAAGCCTGTTCTGCGCCCTGCTCCCTCCAGGGCTTCCCCTGGCCCCGCAGGCTCTGCGGCCCGGCTCCCCAACCCTCTGG